TTTGAGACGGAGTCTCAATCTGTCACCCAGGCTGGAGTGCAGTGGCATGATCTCGGTTCACTGCAACCTCCGTCTCCTGAGTTCAAGCGATTCTCCTGCCTCAGCCTCCCTAGGCATGTGCCACCACGCCTGGCTATGTTTTGCATTTTTAGTAGAGACGAGGTTTCACCATGTTGGTCAGGCTGGTCTTGAACTCATGACTTCAGGTGATTCACCCGCCTTGGCCTCCCAAAGTGCTGGGATTACAGAGATTTTAAATCTCTTTTTAATTTGCTTGAGGTTTGCAAAAACAAAGCACCATCTGGGGCACATAGCAGATGCATTAAATGTTGGTGAGACATCGTGAATAGAAGCATGATGGTGTTCAGGTAGGATAAGATGGGAAAGGATTTTTACTGGAATGTTCAAAAATGTTTGAGGAAATAAACACTTGGTAACCTTTAGATCATTTTTAGCACACCCAGAATTGGGATACAGTGAGAATAAACATTGCTCTCATAGATTCCCAAAGGCCATTAGGATTTTGTTCTCTTAGTTGGATAAATGCATCTGAAGTGCTCATGACAAGATAAGCAAGGTTGTGTGTTTGAGTAAGACTCCTAGGTGGCTAAATTGCCACATGTCCCTGAACATGCTAACACATTCTAAGGAGTGTGACTGCTGCCGTCAATGTGAGGAGAGCTGAAACAGGTCTGTCTCTTTCAGCCCTATTACATAAGAGGCAAGCTCCATCTGATGACTTTATGATACATTAGAAAATTGCTAATGCTAAATTGCAGCCCAAGTGAGCACTGGACACAATGCCAAGGTTTTTGGAAAGAATGAGTTTTTCTCATAGATGTTTGGAAGGTTCTGATGACTACATAAAATAGGAGGCTTTAGGGATGAGGGAGAAAATTGAAAATATATTAAGAAATCAGGAACCTGACAGGAATAAACTTAGCATGGTAGGAAAAGAGTGGATTGTGCCACATAATACGGCTCACTGTTCTGGTAATGAGACACTTCAACTGCAACACAATGCTGAGCTTACATTCACTGGCGATATCAGGATTTTCCTGATCGTAACTCAGACAAGCCTGTCTGGGTCCTTTTCTCTTATTATGTACCATACCGTATAACATAAGTCTATAAAAACACATTAAGCCCTTTTGTAAAAATATATAAAAAAAAGTTTTATAGTCTACTGGAACATATTACCAAATTTCCAATTACCCTGTCATGTTAGAATACATTGTCCTCTAGTAAATATCTGAATACCGATATATGTTACATCACAATGTCATGCTCTGTTTATAAATAGGAGTGTTTTTATATTGTTCCTTCCAAGTGATAGGGCATGTCTGCAACAACTATAACCACGTTAGGATTTCAGTTCTTTGCCCGTTATCTTTACTAATCAAACATACCATTTTAGAAAGTGTTGCTATTTGATATGTTCATTACCAGTTAATAAGTGATGACTCCTCCCAGTCTGAACAACTATTCTGGTCATTCTGGAGACGGCGCTTCCAATCGGCCGTGAGAGACAGTGTCTGAGTGGAACTTGCAGTTTACAGAACCTGAACATCTGATCTTTATCAGCAAATGCATCTATCTGCAGATCAGAACTTGCATTTGGAGTAGGTTTCCCCACACACCTGCCTCACGTTCAGGTCAACCGAGACTAGCACACTTTTGCATATTCTGTCCCTCCCATAACACACACACACACTACGCCCTGTCCCCAAATGAGATTGGTGCCTTGCTATCTTAATCTTGGAATTCCCAGTTTGTGTTTCTGACAAATCTTCGATAAAAAGATGACTAGAAATAAACGACTAGAAATAAAAAGATGACTAGTCCAAATAAGACTATAATAACGAAATCAACAAATGCCAGGAGAGTCAGGGACCCTAGGGATCTCACGCATGGGTGGTCCAAGGCCCTGTCTGACCTGGTATCATTATCTGAATCCACCAGAGATGGTAGTCAGGCATGGCTGGCTGGCTCTTAAGCTGCCCGATAGCAGGGCACTAGTTACTGTAGCATAGAAGACATGCCAGAACCTTGACCAATTCAGGCTAGAATCCTGGCTCAGCCATGTACCCGTGTTGTGACCTTCAGAAAGGCAACATTTCTGAACCCCAATTCAGATGTTGGGCTTTGTATACATGTGCCTCTATGTTTGTAGTTCCCTCATCTGTAAAATGAGCCCAATAATAAAAATCACCTTGAGAGGTACGTTATGAAGATTAAATTAGTTAATCCATGTGTACTACTTAGATTAATGCCCTCCATATAACGAGTCTGATAAAGGTTATCTCTGATGGAGTAGAGATGCAGATGATAGTGACAATGATGCTTAGCTACAAGACAGAAACAATGAAGAAGAATGGCTGCAAGGATTAAGACATACTGAATGCGAAACTCTTCATATACGGCCTGATTCATGGCTGGTCTTGGGTAAATGGCTGTTATAAAAAAATACACAGACATATCCGGAATCTTATAACCCAAATGTCCACTGTTAAATTTTGAGAGTTATTAAGACACATAGACACACCTTACCAAATTATATGCAACCCTATGGTTAAATGTTATGTGAAAAAAATCCCACATTTTGCATTTTTCTTTTAACATAAAACTTATATGGTAGGAGTTTTTTTTCCACACAATGAATGTTTTTTTAAAAGGCCATTTTTAGTTATTGTATTTTACTTGTAGTTATGGATATAAATATAGACATATCATATTTTACTACTAAATTAATATTGGATATTTAGTTCTTCCTACCACATATGATGCTTCACTTTATGAGTATATTGCTATATGTCATTGTACAGACTCATTTGTCTGCATTTCTTTTCACTTAGGATAGATTCCTAGATGTAGAGTCATGAAGTAAAAAGAAACAGATTTTCTTAAGGCGGTTGATATAACATGGCACATCGTGTTCCATAAAGGATGTAGCAGTTTGTACTCTCACAAGAAACATACGATACCACTTTCAACACTCACATTAATAAAGTCTTTTCAAAAATGAAAACACAATTCACAGCACTGGGTTCATTACATAGAAAAATCTGTCATATGTTATGTCCGGAGATATTTATTCTGGTTGATTACATTTTCTGGTTAATAGAGAGTGCCCAAACATACCAGGCATAGATTGTTAATTTTCAAATAACCAGAAAGCCTTTGCTGGGTTTCTCAGCCACCGCTACAAATGTTATAGATTATATTTGTGGGCTTGTAGCAGAATGCTGTTGGTAAGAAAGCTTTTTTTCTGACAGTGTCAGATTGGTAAGATCTGTTGGATTTGATCTTCTTATCAGGTCGATGTGGGTGTGTGCACTGTGGGTGAGGAGGGAAGAGGAGAGCAACAATGGGCTGTATGTACTCTGGGCCGCTACTCCCACTGTGGCATCTGATCCATCCCCACAGGAGCCCTGTGAAAGGGTGTGGCTAGATCCTTTTTACTGACATGGAATTGAGTCTCAGAGGCTTGGTTTTTGTTTTTTTTCTTTAGAGGCACGGTCTCGGTCTGTTACCAGGCTGAAGTGCAGTGATGCGATCATAGCTCACTACAGCCTCAAACTCTCTAATTCCTAGGCTCAAGAGATCCTCCTGCTTCAGCCTCCCTAGTAACTGGGACTACAGGGATGAGCCACCATGCCTGGCTGTTAAACAACTTTTGAAGGCTACACAGATGGTAAGAGGCATTGTGGGTATCAAATTCAGGCTGTTTCCAAATTCCCTCTCCTTTTACTCTACTGAGCTGCTTCCCCAGGAGCATTTCTGCAGGGGAATCATTCATTATGTGGCCCAGATGCTGCCCTGAGAAGGTCTTGTTGGTTGCAAGCAGTGGGGGAAGGGAATGGCAATGGCACCCTGAGGATGGAGTTGCAGCTGGAGTCTGTTACCATGCTGGAGAGAGTTCACAGCCACCACCTACTAGAAGGAGAGGCGTATGCCGGCGTCGTGGTCTGAGCGGGTCCCCATCCTTTCATATTGTAAGCCGAGACTTGAACAAAATACTGCTGGCCCTGCAAAGTATTGAAATGATGCATCAGGCATTTTATTTAATCATTTTTACCCTGGACTCTCTAGGTATAGAGTTAAATTGCTATGTTTGATTAACTCCATTGTCTTTTTGAAACTCTGTTGCCCATACTTTAGCATTCTGGTTTTTCTTGATTATTATGTTTATTTATCACAGTATCCATATATGAAGTTTCCTCTTAGTTTTTATGCACTTTCTTCTTTTCAAAATTTAAATGTCATAATGGCTTTTCCTAACCCTCCAAAACTATATATAAATTTTTAGTCACACAGTCTACAAGGTTTACCCAAAATAGCAATCCCCACTCTCACATCATTCTCATTTTCCCCTCCCTACAGCAATAGCTATCACTTATTTTAGTGATCAACTTGCTGTAGAAAATGAACAAGTTATAATAAATACCTTTTCAGATTAGTGCATTAAAGACTTGCCTTGGTCAGGCATAATGGCTCACACCTCTAATCCCAGCATTCTGGCAGTTCATGAGGTCAGGAGATCAAGACCATCCTGGCCAACATGGTGAAACCCTGTCTCTACTAAAATACAAAAAATTAGCTGGGCATGGTGGCACATGCTGGTAGTCCCAGCTACTCAGGAGGCTGAGACAGGGGAATCGCTTGAATCCTGGTGGCGGAGGTTGCAGTGAGCCGAGATCACTCCACTGCATTCCAGCTGGGTGACAGAGCAAGATTCTGTCTTAAAAAAAAGAAAAAAGAAGGAAAAAAAAAAAGACCTGCCTTGTTCTTTTTGTGGCTGCATATATTTCACTGTAAGCAAATATTCTGTATCATGTATTTTAACCAATCCTTGATTGGTGGACATTATTTAGATTGTTCTCACATTTTCTGCTACAATAAATATACTTTCAGAAAATATCCTTTACTCAGCTGCATATACATTTTAAAAAATTAGCTCTTTGATGTGACTTCAATTTTACAGCCATTGTTAAAACAATGGCTTATAGTCTTTAATGCTGTTTTATGACATTAAGAATTAAGGAACTGTTTTTGTTTGCTGATAACATTTTAAAATCTTTTGCATAGTTTTTAAATTTTGCTTGAGTTTTTATATTTTATATTTTGCTTTTATGTTTTTTTTCCAGTGAAACCAAGGGGCATTTGAGAAGCCAGCATTTGGTGAAACTTTGCTTGTAAAAATTGTAAAATGATGTTTGAAAAAAAAAAAAAAAAGCACATCTTTGTAGAGACTTTTCTAGGACTCTTATAATACTGACCTTACTATATTAGGAAGTCAATTTTTTAATGTTGAAAATGGGTTTCTGTGCCCCTCAAAGTTATAGAGATTGTGTAGGAGTGTAAATCTACTCCTAGGCTTTTATATGATTACAATAGTGTCTGCATTTCTCTCATTAGATGGTCAAGTGGAAAAACTTAATCCCTATGGAAATTAGTTCAGATATTAGAGAAACTCTTTATGGAGAGTTTTCCATTTTTTATCACCATATTACTTTTTCTTTTAAGTAATGGAAATTCCCTAGAGTTCTTTCTGGCCCTCTTCCATCTTGTGAGCCATAGGGCTGGAATCAGTCTTCTACTGATAGCATCTCTGGAGGCCACCAACTCAGGGGTTTGTTTGCTCTGGTAATCCACAGTTCCGGCCCCTGGTATAGACGTGTGATTAGGACTAAAAGTCAGGATTCTGGTGGTCACCCAACCATCAACAATTCCATTAGAATAAGCAGGTTTAAACTTGAAAAAATGCAACCTGATGCAATTTTTTAAAGGCTGGGTTTCAGGATTATACTTTATAGATAACTGTTTTAGTCAACCAACCTTTAAGAAAACAACAACAATAACAAAATTATCCCTCTATTTCCCTCATCTGAAGGTCCTAAGATAGTAAATATTTGAATTGGACTGGAAAAGGTTTGATTTAATTTTACTTTTAAAATATTTTGAGAAAAAAGAATTTTATCTTTGCATTTTAATTGCTTAAGGAAATACACGGCTTGCTCCAGTTTGAACTGATTTACAAGGTGTTTTTATTTTTTGCATTTCATATGCTCATATGTTCATAATTCTAAATAATTAATTTTTGAGTTTGTATTAGTTAAACAAATAAAGAACAGTTTGTTCCAGTTTTTCATTCACAGTTTAAATTGGTTTAGGTTACTGAGAAATGTAGCTCCACCATATATAGTTTCTTTTTTGTGAAAGCATATTTAGACAGACTTTTTTTTTTTTTAATCAAGGGAAAAGGATTTCTCTCAGGAAATTAGGTGACTGCAATTGATGACTGATCTCAACCAACGCTGAGGCTGTGGGCATGAGGGTGAGATGAAGCTGTTATTTTTACCATCAGACAGGGAGTCAAAATTGGATCTCTCAGAGCCTTTGATCCATTCTCCCCTTCCCCCCAAAAGATTAGACTGAGATCCAGAAAGCAGCAGCTCTCAAGGCTTGCATGAGGCCAGTCTTTTTCTGATCTCCTTAGAACATGGCAATTTACAAAGTAATTCATGCTGTCTGCTTACTCCTTTGTGAAATTCAGATTATAGATACCAGACATATCATGCTTAATGAGTGGCAGTTGTTGCCAGAGGACTGGGCGTTGGCTGGCTGTTGCTTTCAGCATAGGCATTTGCTACTACTATCCCAGCACAAATATCAGCAATAGGGAAATGGAAAGTCTACCAGGGGACATTTACCATTGTAAGTCCTGTGATTGTGCACCTCAGAGTCTGCAGATTATCCATGATGATTTCTCCAGCCAAAGGAGAAAAGTCTTTGGACATACTCCATTCCACTGGAAGGAGCAGGGAGGCAGGAAGAGAGAGAGAAAGAGGGAGAATAAAATTCAGTCACATATCAAGAAGTACCTAGAAACTCTAGCATACAATCCCTCTCAAAAGGGATTAAGTTTACCGTCCTTTCTTTATATTGGTGCATCAGACCATGTTCCTTGAGATGTCAATTTAATTTCAAAGTTTACATTTTTTAAAAAGAAGAGCAGAAAAGAAAAATAAAAACTTATGAGTTCTTTTTGAATCTTGATAAATATAATGTATATTGTGGTAAAGGTACATTTATGTGATGTTCTTAATGTCAAATGTAAATTATATTAAATATATTGCTCATGAGGCCATTGTTATATCCACACATTGTATGTATGTGCATTTGTGTGTGTGTGTATATATGTACATACACATACATACTCTGCCACATTATATATAATAGTTTGTTCAATATAGTAGATAACCTATTTACTGCACATGCGAACCAAAGGATCTGTTAGGGCATTACCTTCTATTCACTCTCCAAGTCTGGCTTCTGCATCACCATTCTATTGAAAATGCTCTCTAAGGTCCAAGTGAGATTTTCATTCCAAGAAGCCTCCTTTCATTATCTCCACATCATTTGACACCCTCTCTTTCTAAAAACATTCTCTTCCCCTAATGTCTGCTCCCTTCTCCTCTCCTCCTCGCTCCCTTCTCCTTCTCTCCTTCTCCTCCTTGATACCTTCTTCCATGCCTTTTCATTGGAAAAGGGGTTTGTGACTTACATGTTCAATGTTCTTCCTTGACATCCCCAAAGCAAATGTTTATTCCTAGTTAAATCATGCAAATTCTAATACCCCATTTCACTGTGATATCATATGCTTTCATCATATTTCCCATTGGTTGACAAAGTCATAGTCAGGAAAGATAAATTGTGCATCATCAGTAAAAAGTATCTTAAGCACTTGGTGGGATTTAAGGCAAGCATAAATGAAGCAGGGACTAAAGGACCTTAAATCCCGTGGGAAGAAACGTCTCTGTGTTTCTAAAATTCATGATAAGCAATAGGTCTTAAGATTTAAATTATATTCTCTGTGCCACTTTCATACTTCAAAATCAAACCAATCCATCCCCAAAGCCTGTGTGACCCCTCGAGTCACACAATTCCTCTGCTTTGGATGCTCCTGCATTCTCTCCTCTTCTTCAGAATGTTCCTGGGCATCTCACTTCCTTTCTCCATTCTCTTGAATTGCTCTCCTAAAATTCCTAGTGCTTTGATCATCAGCAACAGTCACCCCTTGGGAAATCTTGCCATATTTGGCCTTCCTTACTTTGTGCAACATTTTTTTCCCCATAGTTTTGGCTGTCCCCACCTTTCTACTTCTCTTATCCTTTAACTGCTTCTTTCTAGGCTCTTCCTGGTTTCTCCCCTTTTCCTTCTCCCTTTGATGTGATGTTCCTTCAGAGTTTGAGGTTTGGCTCTCTTTTCACTCCATGTGTTTGCCCTTGGTATTGACTTTATCCACTTTTATGGCTCTAACTATGAGTCTTAAAACTGTGATTCTATATCCAGCCTCCTGCTTGAGCTCGAACTTCGTTCTATTAATCTTTACTTGAGTGCTTTCCATTCCAAGTGTCCCCCAAGTACTTCTTTTATACCAAACTATGTTTCTTCTCTTATTTCCTCAAATTTAGTTAATGGCACTGTCATGTATCCAGACACTCAACCAAAAATCTCAGTGCATCCTTCTCTTCTCCTTTCCTCCAATTCTTCAACATCGTTTCATCACTAAACCAAGTAGTTTCTGCTTCTAAAATGTCTCCTATAAGTTGCCCTCTTCCCCGATACTGCGATTACTCCAATGAATGGCTTATGAATATGAATGTCAACTCTGTAATAACTCTTTAATTGATTTTTCTGCTTGTCTTTTCATCCTTACATATAATCCTCTTAGGCTGGAGGACAGAGGCTTATGCCTGCAATCTTAACAATTTGGGAGGCCAAGGCAAGAGGATCACTTGAGTTCAGGAGTTCAAGACCAGCCTGGACAACATAATGAGACCCCATCTCTGTAAGATATAAAGCAAAAAACAGCTGGGTGTGGTGGCATGCCCCTACCATCCTAGCTACTCAGGAGGCTCAGGTGGGAGGATTGCTTAAGCCTGGGGGTTCAAGACTGCAGTGAGTTGTGATCATACCACTGCACTCATCCTGGGCCACAGAGTGTGACCCTGTCTCAAGAAAAATAATCCTCTTACTATATCCTGAATCATAATTGAAAAATGAAGATCTAATGATTTCATTCCTTCACCTAACATCATGTCACAGTGTCCAGTTGCTTTGAAATAAAATGAAATCTTAGGAAGGCATTTAAAGACCTTCATATCTGGTCCCAATTGTATGTTACTGTTCTAAATTCCTGCCATTTTCCGGAAGAAAGTCTTTGTTCTGTAAGTCTCTGTTACCTGATTATTTTGTGCATTTTCTGCTTCTGTGTTTTGTCCCCATCTTTCAACCTCTGCTTAGGACCTACCAAGGTCATCTCTAAATTCATTAGGAATAATTCATCAAACACACCTGTTTTTCTGCTCCTTAAGTCCCTTATTTCTGTAAAAACAAGATTTGTTAAAATGTATTATGTTTATGGTATGTATCGCTTTCCCTTGATCATGAGAATCTTGAAAACAGGAAGTGTCACTTATTTTTCTTCCTTTCTAGTATGTGGGTCTGTGCTTGGTGCATCAAGGGTGCATATTAAATATTTACAAATCAAATGCATATATATGTATACACACACACACACCACACAGAGATCCCTAAAATAGATTGGTTTTTCCAACACAAAAATATTTGCCTTTCATGTGAATCTTCTTCTTTTCTAGTCTCTTGCTTCTTAAAGCTCTCAGGCACGTTAAACAATCTAGTTAGAATCAAATGATTAAGATTATATGTTAACTCAAATTGGGTCTATACCTCCTTACAAATATGTATTCTAAAACACATATATATTTATATATATGTATATGTATCATGTATATGTTTCTATTTTTCAAAATGTTTTATTCCACTTACAAGCTACTAACTCTTGAAGAAGCCAAGTCTCTGAAAGTCAAATTGGGGAAGGTTTGTAATCAGAGAATAATGTTACACCTAATTTAGCTATAGAAGAAAGGTATCCTTGAGTGAGTTATGACAAACAGAGCAAAACAAAAATAAGTAGAAAATTTGCAAAGAAATTTAGAAAGAGCAAAGAATATAGGAAAATTCTGGAAACAAAAATATCTTTGGTTGCCATTGAGACAAACATGATTAATTTTTGTGGTGGAGCTCTAAGCTGCAGGTTGAGAATCAAGGGCTGTGACTCCAGGCTAAGAATTCAAGAGAACTTGCCAAAAGAAGAGCAAGGGATTAGTGGGAATAATACTAGATTATCTGGCAAATGATTAATGAAAAGTTTTTCAGAGATACCCTCTTTAGAATTTCTAAAGAAACTTCAATTTATTTTTGAAACGGTTCAAGTTTTACTGAAACATGTTTTACAAAGCAAGTTTTAAGCGGAAAGGGGTGCCAGGCTTCTTGCAAAACAAAACATAAACAGAAGCTGGTTGTAAGAAGACATGGTTCTGCTTTGGGAATTAATAGAAGGTTTTAAACAGTTAAGTCTAATTAGATTTTATAACATTTCTGAGTTTCGAAGGGGAGGGGCTAGAGAAGGAGAAGATTCACATCAAAGGCAAACAATTCTCCATGTTAGAATGGCTAATCTATTCCGGGCAACCAACAGTCTTTTTCCCTGTGTGTACTTCCTTGGGTTGGTAGACTCCTTTTGGCACAAAGCCACAGAGAGAAGAAAGGAATTTCTGCAGACTTAAAGAGTGAAGAGAGAAACAGAGTTAGCAGGAGCCACTTTGAGAGCAACTGGGAATTCTTTTTTTTTTTTTTTTTGAGATGGAGTTTTGCTCTTGTTGCCCAGGCTGTAGTGCAATGGTGTGATCTCAGCTCACTGCAACGTCTGCCTCCTGGGTACAAGCAATTCTCCTGTCTTAGCCTCCCAAGCTGTTTGGATTACAGGCATGCGCCACCATGCCTGGCTAATTTTTTTGCATTTGCTAGAGACAGGGTTTCATCACGTTAGTCAGGCTGGTTGTGAACTCCTGACCTCAGGCGGTCTACTGCCTCGGCCTCCCAAAGTGCTAAGATTACAGGCGGGAGCCACTGAGCCCAGCTGCAACTGGGAATTCTAAGATCAGCTCAGAATGGTCTCTTTGGAAAGTTGTATGTAGGTAGTTTACAAACTTAACATTAAAACCCTGAGAAAATAACTTATAAGCCAGTTCTAAAACCATAGAAAACTTAAAATGTTTAAGATAAAGATGAGAGAAGCTGTTTCTACTTAGCTCTGGGAAGAAGGAGGGTTTAATTATGCAATGGCTCATAGCAGTTGAAAATGAGCAAGAAAGGTACTTGATTAGTATTAGGTATTAGTATTAGCATTCCCCAAAATTTGGCTCTGGTTCAAACTGTGATTCACTGCATTTATATCAAGTAACCATGACTATTTTAAATGGGATTCATTGTTATTTTAACAAAAATTTAATTTTTATCTAAGTTTTATATTTGCAGAGTCATTTGGATAGGGAAGTTCTACGTGAACACCGCCATTATCTGATGGCAGCTATATAAATCACAGTTCCAAAAGATTAAAAAGAAAAAGAGCCCCAGAGGCCTGGCCCTGTCACCCTGAGGTCTATAATATAATGGGAAATGTCATAGATGAGTCACAGACTAGAAAATTTACAACTCAAAAGAATTAGAGTATGCAAGCAGAGGACATAGTATAAAGCTTAGGTAAATTTCAAGGCTTATGATGTGGATTATATAATACACCCTGTTTTAGCTGAAAACAGGCTTAAGTTGCAGGCCAGCTTTTGGAGAGGTGAAGACTATGCTTAATAAAGGTATAAGAAAAAACACGCAGCAACGTCTCATTAATTTTTTTTCAATTGATAAAAAAAAAAACCTCCTAAA